AAGAAAATTCGAAAGCTTAGGTGTCAATGGCGAGGGAGCTGTAAAGCTCGAGCTTGGCGTAGGTGACAAGAAGACACGAAAGCTCGTCTGTCAACGGGAAGCAAATTCGAAAGCTTAGGTGTCAATGGCACGGAAGCTCGAAAGCTCCGGCGTTGCTGGCAAGGGGGCTCGAAAGCTCGGGTGTCAGCGATGGCAAAGCTTGCAAGCTCCGGCGCCAATTAAAAAAATTCAAAAGCTCTCGAACGAAGAGAAATAAAGCTAAAGAACTCCATCGACGATAATGAATAAACGCGAAAGCTCGTACGATCGTGGAACGAGACGGTACGTTCCGACGTTTTCGTAGGAAAATCGAGGAGCGAGGTTGGAATTCCGATCAAATCGATGCGCGTGAAATAAAAACGGCGGAAAGATGAAATCCTTTCTGAACGACAAGCTCCATCAGTGGTGCCCGTTTCCCGATGGCCCCGCGGATGCCGTTCGAATATTCCTGATTTCTTTTATCCGCTTATCGATGCGAATCGAAGCACAAATCCCCGGCGTTTACCGTATCCCCGCGCGTTCAGCTTCCAAAGTTAACCGCGTTTTCGCGCCTGCCAACATCTTCGTCGCAACATCCGGCGTCCAAATTTCCGCATAAGAATCGACTTATCCCCTGAAGAATCGCCGACAATTTCGCGAAAAATCCGGTTGCCAGAGATAAACGCTTCCTCCGAGCGATACACTCCGCAAGTATCGTGCTCCGGTTTAAACGATTCGCATCACGAATAGTCACGGATGATCGGGTCCCGTCATACGCGGAACGAGCCACGGATGGTGATCGCTTTTCGATCGATTAGCCAGAAACGAAACGGCCGATCAACGGCGTTAATTACGGCCACGGGATCAACGATCGTACGATCGATCGCCTGGGCTCCAGTGCTTGCGACGTCCACGTAATGCACGCAAAATGGCCGCCCGCACGCGACCATCGAGCGACCTCTAGCGTCGCGTCGCGTCGTTCGTTCAATTTTTTCCACTCACCGATTTTTCTCGAACCCTTTTGCTCCCTCTCGAGCCGCGTTTTGTTTCTCCTAACCTCTTTCACCGCGACAATTACCTGGCTTCGTGGCTCACCCGACAGACCGCTGTTCGCCATGGACAGCGTACTTCCGCTTCGGGTTCCCGCTCTCGATTCCTTCGCTCGTTTTTTCGACCCTGCCGCACTCGCGCCCGAATGATCGATCTCTACCGAGCTCTCGTATCCGGAAGTCATGGTCGAGAGCGTCGCAACGCGAACCAAAACTGCTCGACGGCCGCTCGGGCGTCGCCGAGGCCGGAAGTGGGCCGATAGAGGCGAGAGATAAGAGAAAATCGACGATTCGAAGAAATTGTTGGGCGTGTGAAATTGTATTTGATAAATTACACACATCGAAACTCGCGATTGCTTCGAAAACCATTCGGCTGCCACGAAACCGGAAGCGGGTTGACGGTGGGCCCCGATAAAAGAAAATCGGCAATTTGGAGGAATTATTAGGTATATATAATTATTATGTAAATCGGTACGAAAATACTCGAGGGTGGATATTTCTTTGCTGATTTTGCTCGATATCTAGGTCCCGATATTTTCCCCGCGAAACCGGAAGTGGGCTAACAGAGAGGTTCGAGATAAAAGAAAATGGACCGTTTGCCAGGAATTTTTAGGCGCGTATCGGTATTGTGTAAAAATAGCTTTGACGGTATCTAAACGTTGATACTTTTTCGCGACGTTATTCGACATCAACGGTTGAATATTTTTGATCCGAAAAATATACGGAATATAAAGATCTCTGCTGCTGTTTATTTTTCACAGTTATTTCCACATAGGGATATAAAGTAAAATTGTTCCGTGAAAGAGTACTCTTTTCTAGCCAGCCATTTTACCTTTTTTGCAACTTCATATTTTTCCTCGGCTTAAGGGCACGCGTAGCTAGGACAAAAATGGCGCGAGTAATCGTTTGGAACGCGGCAGCGAAACCTCTAATATTATGCAAGAGAAACGATCGTTTCGTGTAACCTCGTTTCCCAATGTTTTTTCCCCGGTGCAACTTCGTTTCGAAACATTTTTCCCATTTTTTCCTCTCTTTCCGCGCGAATCTACAATTAAAAGGAACATTCGAATGGCGCCGTTTAAACGCACCGTTCACCTCGGGCTGTGCCAAGGTATCAAAACCGTAAAAATACGATTTTCGGACGTTGCGAGAAGTGGCAGGTACGCGTGGTCGGAAATTTCGACCTGATAAAAGTGACAAAGCATGTAGATTCGGCGCGAGCATTCGTATGAAACGAAACACGGTCATTGCAGCTTCCGCCCCGCGAGAACGCCCCCCGTTCCCCTGTAATTTATGGCCCGAATTTGCAAATAATGCTTCTACATATTTTCGACGTGCTTGTCGCGGTTTTTTTTCGTAATCGCAACGCGAGAAACAATACCCGCGTGATGCAGTGCTGCCATTTTGTCGATTAACTGCTTCTTCGCCCATTTTTCATCAGCTCCCAGTGTATCGCCGAGAGCAACATTTTGACAAACTTTATTTTATGAGCAGCACTCGGCTTTAGTTTTCACATATTCGCTGAGGTATTTTGCTACTGCTATATCGAATTCCCAATTTTAATTATACGTGTATTATACGTACAGGGTGGATTCATTTATTGACACGGTTAACGCAATAAAAATGAATTTAATATTTTCCATTTACGACAAAGTAATTTTGCATTGTCTCTAAAATAAGAATCGAAGTAAGTAAATGAAGATGGTGGAAGTGGTCGTGTTACATGGTCCACTCTTGATATATAGCATATGCAGGGTAGACAACCTACACTTGACACATTTCTATCGTCTCCATTTTTAATAAGTTCCTTTTTCCTGCCTTTATTTACACGGTTAAGGTAACAAAAATGTATTTAATATTTTCTATTTACTATAAAATAATTTTTCATTGTTCCTTGAATAGAAACTGAAGTAAATAAATACTTGATCCACCCTGTATATACAAAGGAAAAGGTTCCCCGAAATGTCACCCTCTGCAACAGGCTTCGATTTCATAAAAATCACCGACGCACCGGTTCATTTCAGACGACTTTGCTAACCTTGTACAGTATTTGACGAGTTAAAGCCGCTCAAAAGAGCGGAATTTTAAATTATGAAGGCTCCCTGCTAGTACAAAGTACGAATACCGCACTTTCGAGCGAAGAAAGCGAAACTGCCGAGCTGCAGTCGCTATGTCAAAGCAGTTGAACGAATCGAAGGTAATGTTATTCGATAGCAAAGAGGGCAAAAGCCAAGCCGTGTGGTTTCCCGTTTCATCCAATTATCGACTGTCGTCGTCGACGTTGCGTGCTCTCTGGAGTTTTACGTTGCCAGAGATTGCATCTGATCGTTACTAAATATCCCTGCAAAGCCTTCCCTTTGCTACCCGGTGCTTGCGTTTCGCGCGATGCTCGGATATATCTCGAAAACTCCTCAGTTAAGAGAAAAAGGGTAACCGCGTGGAAAATAACGCTTGCCAATGTCAGAACACGATGTGAAGATTCAACGATTCGTTTAATGATTTTCGTAAATGGTTCCTAGATCGCGCAGCTTCCATTTTCTATTCGATTCGACAGAGTCGACACCTAACCTAACTTAACCTAACCTAACCCTCGCCTTAGTCGCTTACGTTGCTGAACAATATTCAGCGGTTTCCTTCTAGCGAATATTAAAAACTTCGAGTCAAGTTCAGTTTGTTGGGACGAGAACCGGAAGTGTTCCTCAAAGCGTGAGTTAATATATCGAGGCAAACTTGCGAAACTCTCGTTCGCGTAACGTTACGATGAAGTTGCAGTGTCGAAGCTTTCGCGGTCAAAGTGTGAGAGAGGGAAAAAGAAAGACAGGAAAATGATAATATAATTTTTGCAAAGAAGAAATTCGAAAGGAAACGCGAGTGTTCGCGCGAGGAATCGGAAATCGATCGGCCTCGCAGACTTTGGCGCCGCCTGGCGGCGCGTCCGCGAGGTAGCTTTCTCTTCGACTGACCGATATCGGCATTCGATATATTTTTCCGTCGTAAACACCACCGAGCTAATTTTAGACAGCTAGCACGCGCTGCAAGTTTGAAAAATAACGTGAAAAATAAAAGAATGTCCGTTAGCAATTTCAACATATTTTATTTCACTTCATACACGAGTATAATCTTTGCGTCTGAATTACTTTCACGCGGAACATGTTTCGAATTTCGTAGTATTCCAATAAACTTATGCATTAACCAATTCCATACAAAACGAGAAAGTCCAATACCTCGCTGCAACAACAAACAGTTTACGATTATGATTTTCGTTATTCGATGAATGAAAACGAATAATAAAGGTACGTAACGCTTGACTAAGGAGAAAGAAAAATAGGTTAGACTTGAAACTTAAAACGATAAAGAAAAAGAAGGCAGAAAGAAAGAAAGAAAGAAGAAAACGAAGTAAAATCTCTCTTGTTCGTGCTCGAATGAAAGGGCGTGTGAAATGAAAGGCCGGAAACCGCAGAATCCCAGAGAAATAATGGAAGCGATGTTCTCTAAGAGTCTACGTTTGCCAAGGCTTCCCGCGTCCCCTGCTTAAGTACAATAGATATAATATATTTCATGTAATAACGTAAACAAGATAGTGGTTTTGTACAAATATCCCTTATATAAAAATCATGCTCGTCTGGCTAGGCACGGATTGCAGGAATCACGTGACCCAATCTTCGTTCTTTTGTTCTCCCTCTTTGTAACTAGACAGTCCCTCCGCAAGTGTAACTTATGCTTACAAAGTCCACTGATGAGAAAACGAAAATGAATTACGTAATTACAGAGACGGACGATGGACAAACGCACAAGACATCGATTGGAGACGATCATCGAACATTAACATCGTTTTAATTCGCGTTTTAATCTGTTACATGAAAATATGCTTTCCGCGACGTTCCTCGTACTCTCTCTCTCTCTCTCTCTCTCTCTCTCTCTCTAACTTCGAATGCGAGTGAATGCGTTCACGAGGACAAAATTCGAGTCAAGGTACTTTCGATTAGTTACTCCTTAAACGCTAACATTTCGCTGTCTCGATTTCATAGAATCATCATCATCATCCCCTCTCGGTTCGATCGGCTGCGAAGCTCTGTCACTGCTGTCCCTACCACTTCGACGAAATTCTTTTCTATCTAAAATTGTTTCGTTGGCTACGAGAAAGTTTGTTTTGTTTGCACCTATCGCCGGGATTCCTCGGCGAGACGTTGCTTTTCCGATTAAATCGATCCCTTCCCGCAACAGCTCGCGGGGACATGGTCCAAAGTCTAGGTTAGGAACACCGAAATTCCCCAGAAACGAACGTTCGTTCCGTCTCTCGTTCAATGCCCTTGAAAACGGGCAAACGCAACGAGCATCGACGACTTCGATGCGGATACCCTGAATCCGGAAGCCTACGTTCGAAGTGGTGGACGTCGGAAGGCACTGGGTCGGTCTAGTAACTCGCCGAAAGTCCCTAGAAAATCTCTAAACAGAACTCCTTACAGTAACGTCCCCTTTCCGTGGTTCTATAACAATATTTTCGTTAGAAAAATTAGTCTCGATCTCTTAGAAAAAAATATTTCATCCTCGTCGATCAGAGTCGATCGAAGCCCAGCGCGTTCCGAGGTCCACCCCCCCAAACTTCAGCCGCAGTACCCCTCGACATCGAGTGTTATCTGTGGTATCCGTATCCAGGGCTGGTGAACACCGTGGCCTTCAGCGTGATGGAGGAGACCTGTGACAACGAATCATCCTTGGGTACCCAGTTTTTCGGGCTCTTCTTCAGCCTGTCGTGTCTCCACAGCTTGTGAAGCGCCAGCGAGGCCTTGGTGTGATACGGCCGACAGATGGAGCCTCTGGCAGGCGACTCGTCGGGGCACAGGCGACATTTCAGCAATCTTCTCCTGGTCAGCTGACGTCGATACCTATTCTTCAGCTCGATCAGCCTGACAGTCTGCTTTCCAGGCCTAGAGATCGTCTCTTCTTGTCTCTTGTCCTGCTTGTACCCCTCGGACGAGAGCAAGTCCTCGTCCTCGAACTCCTGGTTCCATGTCACCTTTCTGGGTTGGCTCTGCTTCCTGGATCGCCTCTCGTTCGGCTTCCTCTGACTGTTCGCCGACCAAGGACACTCGGATGGCTCCCTGGCTGACTGGCCTTCGCTCGCTTCGGGAACGGCTCGGTAGCTGTGCGCAAAATCACGATTAAGTACAGTGGCGGTAGAGTCGCGGCTGGAACAACCGGTACACGGTTCGTGAACATGACGATCGCCGTGTTGCTCGACGCTCGACGCGCAAACGGCGCGAAACGAATCGTGGTCGCGGCTCTGTTTCTCGGTTTCGTGGTCGACGTGGTTGGCGTCGTGATGACGATGGCGACGACGATGGTCGTGGTCGTGGCCGTGCTCGTGACCGCTCGACCGCCTCTCCTCCTCCAAGGTCGGGTACGCCATTGTCGCTGCAGTTGCAGGGGAGTTTACCATCTCGTGGCTGCAACCACCGCGGCACTGTTCCATAAGTTACGTTCGCGTCATTTTTCTACCAACGAACGAGCGCTCGTCGACCGTGCGACGTTTCTTTTTTCTTTTTTTTTTTTTTTT